GAGAGAGAGAGAGAGGGAATACAGAGAGCATCTAAAGAAAAAGAGAGAACATGCAGATAGGTAATTTGATGCTGCTTCTATAGCTTTCTATTTCTTTTCCTTGTTTTATTTTTGTTTTGTTTTACTACCGTTGGTTCTTTCCCTCTGTTTTATACCACTTTTGGGTGCTTATTTGTTGGTGGGTTTTTTCAAAGGATAAGTGAGTTCTGCAGCTTCACCATCATCATTACAGTCGTTGTTGGTCATTTATTATTAGTGTTATTTGTATCTTTATTGTTTTGGGGAAATTTTGGTTATTTTATTTTGACTGCAAATATGTAATTTAACTTTTATTTTGCTAAGCTAGGATCTTACCTTTTCTTGGTTGTCAATTTTCCTTTTCCTCTGTTTTATTTAGATTGTGCGTTTCTTGTATTGGTACTTCATGAGCTTTTTTCTGTTTTCTTGGTTTGATTATTTTTCCATCAGGATTACCACTTTCTCACAGTACATGAGCTTTTTTGTTTTTTTGGTTATTCCTTTCATCTGGCTATTATTTTCTCCATAGCTATTTCCTTTGTCTCTTTCATGACACTTTTTACCAATGGTCTTAACTTATCTTAGATTGCTTCAACTGGGTTGCTTTCCTTCAGCGTGGGCCTGATCATAGTTATATATGGATATTGAACAGAACCCAGTACTAGTACCCTATTGTTTTCATAATAAATCATGGTTATTAATTTTCTTTTCATGCACCGCTTTGATATTTTTCTACCATGCAAAGGCAAAAGGGACCATTGGTTTTTGTTTCTAATTCCTTTTTCTTTTCTCTTTGTATTTACAGCGCCCTTGTGTTCCTCGGCGAATAGATATCTCCGAACCAAGCTCTGATTTGAATTCCCCTTCCCCATATGAAATGCAACATCCTATGCCAGATGTGATACCTGTGAGAAATTACCGTCACCTTCGAGGATCACAACGCTCTTCTGGAGCATTTGCAGAGGTGCAAGTCCTAAGTTATACTCAAGCATTTCTTCTATTTGTTTGTTGATTAGTTTTCCTTTCTGGGTCTCAATACTCTTTCGATTTAGAAATTGGGTTACCCAAATGCATTTCTTAGGCCAAAGACAGGGCTCCCTTCTTTTGCATATGTTTTTCAATAAATTCCATCTAAATAACGTTTCTGGCATTGTGCTTCTGTTGGTTCTTGATATTGTTTTCCTGGTTTGCTATATTTGATTTTCTTAGTCTCCAATTCTGACAAGCGGACCGGAAGTAAATATATATGGGACCATTAGGATGATATAAGAAAAACCAAGCTGTAATAGTGGCATGGGGATCACTTTTATATAACAGGTATGTCAAGATATCAGCTATTAGTATGACTTAACTGGTTCAACGCTTGGCTTTTGTAAGTTTGCACTAGTTTTACCAATTCAAGCATTAAAGGAAGATTTACAAGAAGGAAGAAGTTTATATAAGGCACCAACATTATCTATAAAAGTAAGACAAACGTCAAAAACTCACTGGAAATGGTTGTTTTGATGCTGAAAATTCCTCCAATTAATAATCTCAACCTCAAGATGTATGGTTATGAACAAAAGAAGGATTTCCAGTTTTAAAAGCAGTGCATCTTATAGCAAGTTATCTGGACCGTTTGTCCATTTTCAAGATTTTTCAAGTGCCCATAGATGTATTCTGTTTGCACCATTTTTGAAGCTTTTAATTTCATAATTAGGAATGGAAATAGATTTTCAGGCCAATGACAGGTTTCCGGTGCTAGAAATACATTTTTTGGCAAGGTTTGGAGGTGCACCTTACTTTGATTCTTTGAGGTTGACACCTTACCTAAATTTCACCTGTGATGATAGGGAACAAAAAGGAGATAGTGGGTCACTTTATCTTAGGTTCCTTGCCTTCTTAATGTAGCCTTTGCAATTCCCGATAGGGTGTGGTTTGTATAGAGCCTAGGCTCTAAACAAACAAATTAGAGCCTACCTTCAAATAGTGTCGAGAAATGTGGTTTCAATGCTGGAAATCTTTGTGATAGCCTTAAAATATATTTTCATTTTTATTTATAGAGTTTAAAACTTAAAAAATTGTGTAGATCGACAGATCTATGAATACTTGAAAATTGACAGTCCAAAAGTGCATTACAAAATACACTTTTCCAAAACTTAAATCCATTTTTTTCTCATGTCCATGCATCAAGATGTTGAGATGATCAATTTGAGGATATTTGGGCATCAAAACAACCTCTTCTAGTGAAATTTTTGAGGTAGGCTCGAATTTGATTGTTTAGAGCCTCGGCTCTATATGAACTTTTCCCTTCCCGATAATCTTGATTTTAAATTAAGAATTGAAACATGAATGGATCCAAGAATTTATTTTCTCCTCAAAGCCAACACATGTAAGGAAGTTTCTAATCCATGTGATAATTCTGATTAAGTCGAAAACCATTATTTGGATTCTTATACCTAAGTCTATATTTGATAACTTCCCGAGTAACCAAGTGCCCTTCAAGAATCTACCTTCCTTACCAAAACTCTCCTATGGTTAGAGTATTCATATTTCGGGGTTTTGGCTTGATTGATTTGTGGTGTTGACAATTGCAGCAATACATCCCAAGTTCGAAACCTATTGGTGAGCTATCCAAATTAAAGAGGGCAAATTATCAAAAGAAAAAAAAGAAGAAGCAGAAGGAGGTGATAAGGAGCATAAGTTAGTCTTTTTTTCTAAAAATAACTTTGGTTGCTACAGTTTTGTAAAGGTTTTCAACCAAGAATGTAGGTCCAAAGTCTGTGATGTCAAAATCCCCTTGCCTTTTAATATGGTTTTTCTTTTCTCCATGTCCCTCCAATGTCCTATTGTTCTTTGAAAGTTCATCAAGACATGCACATGTTACTTTTGATGATCCCCAGAAACACCTGATAAAGAGCTCCTAGACATTTTTCCTTAGCTCAGCGCCTTATTCTTGACCGTGCTTATACTTGCATGTTACATTCCCATTTTGACAACGGTCTCTTGATTATATTGTATTTGAGCTATCCCTCCTCTCAAGATCCAACTAATCCATGGTAGGGCTGACAATAGTCTCTTCTATATATACGCTTTTGAAGAAATCCACCATGGTATTACTACTGTCATCCTTGTTAGGGAAAGTCCCTTAGTCCATGGTATTCAAATTGAGCTTGTCATTTCTTTTGTGGACATTAGCCAAGATATGGAAAAACTTTTATTGCAGTTCCCTTGTTTTGTCTGATGGTCTTGTGATAATTAATTTTCAGTGGGTAAATTCATCAATCCGGATGGATGTGGAAATTTTTTACACAAGCTGCCAACCTAACAAACCCTCCTCCTTTCTCTGGGTTTGGGACCGTCATCACTGGCTTGGGATTAGCCATGGCGGAGTTATGGTGACTTATGGTATGACTGAGGGTATGGCCCTTGATAGAGGTGAATGGTGGAATAAGATTTGTTTAGCCGGACCCAAATAGTCAGATAAGACTCGGATGATGATGATTATGATGATGAACTCATCAACCCGTGTAATCCTACCAAAAACATTTCACATAGTAAGACATGTTTGTTCCAAACGTGTATTGGAAGATCAAAGACTCTCATCTGCATCTCTCTTTGATCAAAACCCCTTTTCGGCTCAATTGATTTCTCTGGCAATCTCTAGAAATGTAGTGATACTTCCTCTACAACCTGGTTATTCCCTCTCAAGATACTGTGAGCCTGTTTGACCACACAGCAGTTTTGTACCACCATCATTCTTCTTTGCCCCTTTACTTTTTGTACCACCATCTTTCTTCTTTGCCCCGTTACTTACTCATGTATTTGAGGATATTTAATTTCTCTATTGTCTGAGCCCACATGCCTTCCTTTCCTCCTCACCATTCACTTTCATTCTACTCAGCTTTTATCTCCCACTTAGAGTTTTGAGTTGCTTGATAAGAATTGATACCCGTCAATTGCCTGCCAAAAGAGAAAGATAACCATATCTCACTTCCTCCTAATCCTTCATCCCCCTGTTTCCCATTATTTTTCTTCTGATGAATTTGATCTGTTACTGTGCTCTTCTGTAGGGATTTAGTCCTAAAGAAGAGAAACCTAATAATCTATATTATCCCCCATACTGATCTATATGCTGCATTTAATTCCAGTCTTTCTAACTATTATCTTTCTTTTGCCATCTCTTTTTTTTTTTTTCACCTATAGTTTCTAACAAAATTTATTAAAAACTACATTTGATCACTTGTTCAGCTACCCAACGCCATAAAAGACTTGTTTTAGCTTTCAAGGACTTCTTGTGCTAATAGCAAGAACTTACCGTGGTTCTTTTCTTTCTGTCACCCTGGTTATGGAAGGGAGAGAGATATTTGCTATTTTATCAACGTGCTTGTTTGTTTGAGCTAGTTTGCTAGAATGCTTTGGGTACTTGAGCCACCTAGTAAATTAGTAATGAACTTCCACAAAACTGTTTGATGAATGTGATGCACAAAATCACGAGTGGTATGTGCTCATTGCTCTCACTCTCAGTTCTACACATATTGCAATTGTTGTCCAATTGGAGACCCCATCTTTGGATTCTATCATTAGTGATAAGCCTATTTTAGTAGGCCAAAAATAGGCCCTGGGGTGAATTGGGCTCTTCCATATGGCCTTTAGAATATGATTTCTAATCCCATTTTCTCTAATTACCTCGTAGTCACCATTTTCAGTAGGCATCCATATGATTTCTTGCACCCCAAAATTTCACCCACTTGATGGCTATATTCTATGATCGGAATTGTCATTTATGCCTTACCAAGCCCATAAATTTCTCATTGTTGCTTTAGAATTCCAAAGGTGATTTCTCCAAAGGTAAATTTTTTTTTCAGCCTCAGTCAAATGTTTCTCACTCGTCAACTCCTACCCAAGCTTCACCCACAAGGCCATGTTGATCTCCTTGTTCCGGTTGATGCCAAGTCCAACTTCACTTTTGGGTTTGAAGATAATAATCTAGTTGACTAGGTTTAGGTTCTTTCATTATACTGACTGCTTCAAATGAAATCCCTTTGAAGCTTCCCAAGGGTATTAATTGTGGTAGAAGAATGTCTGGACATAGAACGCTGATGAAGCGCAATTAGGAGAGGTTTGAGTTTATTTGAGCAAGCCTGTGGAGATATGAAAGGGTATTTAGCTTTCTGTGTACTCTTGATACAGATATTGGCGCTTTTCAAGGCCAAGGAGTGAGAACCTGTACAATTTAGAAGGTTCGGTTGGAGTATATGTGCTCTGTCATACGAAGTAGCCTGGTGCTGCCATGTGGATTACAATAGTGAGTTGATATTTGTTGGACATGCCTTTGCAGTCAGTTGATGACTGCTTGGCTTGCCTTTTGCTAAATGGTAGTGCTTCATGGAGAGAATTTGGGCGGTCAGAATTCCAGTTTAGTTTTTTGTGTAAGTCCTTTTGTTATAGTGTTGAATGTGCCTATCAAAGTGAGCTGGGCATGGGTAAAGACGGTAGAGGCTGGGTTTTCATAGCACAATGTTTCAAGTTCAATTCCTATGTAACCTTTTTAAAAAAAAAGGATATTTTTGTCATTTACCCTTTAAACTTTTAGAGACATATGCAGCAACTATTATTATTTCATCTAAACACTTGAGTTGACAGAAAAGATGCAGCCTTGTTCCTATCGGCATGTTTTCTGACCCTTGTCACTGTTTCTGTCATATATTTGTGTTCCTTAATATTGATATTATTGATTGTGTTGCCTCTATGACCAAATAATCATCTTATTTCTTGGAATTGTTTAATAATTCTTTTGTAGTTATATAATGTAGTGATTTTGATATGAACTTTAGCAAATATCATATTGATTACTCTATAGTTGCTGGGAGTGCTCAACTTAGGAGCTCATCCAGCTCCACGATCTTTCTTCAGAGCTCTCCAGGATAGGGATCTCCATGCGATCTTGATCCCTACCTTTTAGGAACTGTCCATGCCACTCAA